ACAAATTAAATTCAATATATAAAACTTAAAAAACTTATTACAAAACTTAAGATTATAAAAAAATTATTTAATTTCGTTACTCAAACATATAATAAAATTAATTTTTTTTGTTCAGTTTAGACATTTTTAAAATTTCATTGGAAACTTATTAGCATTGTTAATTAAAATAAACAAAGTTTGAGTATTAAAATGGATACAGTTATAAAAGTTGATGTATTAAAGTGGACAGAATAACTAGTTGAGGTTTTAAACTGGGTAGTGAAAATGTTTGGGTATTAAAAAGCTTAATAGAATTTAGTTGGGGTATTTATATGGAATTTTCCCATAAATTAAATAAAGGATTAGGGAATCAACTACTAATTTACAGCATATACTTTTCATTTTTTTGTAGAAAAGCAATTATATGATATTCACTACTGGGCCGTAGTGGCCCGTCTAGCCTCGATCTCAGCTTAAAATAGGACCCACCACCTCGTTGTCGGCCCACGGTGGGCACCGCTTTATTTTCTTTGTGCGCCTTGGCGTGGGTTTTTATTTTTATTTAATTTCTCTCAGCTTTCTGTTTCTGTTAATAGTTTCGGGATATAAATTTATTTTTATTCTTTAGGTTCACGGCTTCTGTTTTTCTATTTAGGAACTAATTATGTTTTTTTTTCTATTTGTGTATGTCTGGACTCTGGACAATTTAGTACTTTAAGGTGTTTAAATGTAAATTTTGAAGAAGAAAAAATGTATATTCTCAAATTTGGGTGGTATTACAGTGACGTCACTATGTAAACTACTAGCGTTAGGCTAGATATTTAGTAAAAAATATAAACATTAGAAAAACTTAAATTATGCTCGTGATCCAAGGAGATGAAAAGACGGTGAAAGTTTGTCATCAACTTACCCCATATAGAAGTGAAGTTGAGCTAAGAACACGTCACTGTTGAAATACCCGTCACGGTGACGGAGCAAACGGACGGCACGATCACCGAAAGGTTATGTCTGGAGAAGCCACTTCTTTAACAGCTTCGTCACGCCGAAATATGAGACATTTGTACTGTTCTCACGCGCTTCTGTTCTTCCTAAAGTAACATACATTCCTCGGTTTTACATTTTGATTTGATAAAAGTTGTTTTTAGTTTTATTTTTACATTTGAATAAATTAAAGTCAGTAATACCACTCCTAGGACTCACAATATCACAAGTTCGTATGATTTATTTCTCGGTTAAAGTATTTTCTTTTTCAAGAGATTAAAGTTTTTCCAAAAAAGATTTTCCATTATTTCTAGGTTAAATATTTTAGCAAAAAAACGCTCGTAAATATATAAGGATCACTTGGAAATCCGTATAGTGATTTATGTACGAGTTACTGTTGCTATTCACAATAGTTATTTTATGTAACATCACAATAGTTACGGCGTATTCGGTGTTGATGGACCAACCAATTAATCAACACTGTTCCATCCTCATTTTGGATCTTTATATTTCCTATTCTCTTTACTGATGATGATGTGTCATTTCCCATTTTTAATTTTTGATTATCCCTATGATCTCTTCGTTTAATTCTTTATGTGCTTTTAAGTGTTTAAATATATAACGAGGTGACCTATAAATGGCTAAGAATTGTATGCATGACACAAATTACGGTCTATGATAAAGCTTTTCATTCGTAAATGATCGGTTGAACTATCATCGCTACCCCGTATAGTATTTGTGAGCCATCATTAAACCATTTACTGCGAATTTCTAGAACTTCTAAACTTTTAATGTTTAGGGAAATATATGAAATAAGCCTAAGGAACAGAATCCTTGAATGTATATGCATCTTTGCTTAGTCTAAAATTATTGTAGGCCTAAAACTCGATACTGTTAACATCAACCCAAAAATGAGAAAAGACAAAATGCTATTTGCTTAAGATTTTTTTTTTAGAAGACATAATGTTCGATCAAAGAAAATATTTTTGGTACATCCTTGAAATATTGCTCTCTATGGCAATCACATTTTTAAGAGTGTCATTTTGACACTTTTCACATATATTAAAATGATTAAAATGTATTTATGATTTTATTAATTATAGTTATTCAACCAATTATATTTAACATATATATAATTATTTATAAATTAATATTAAACTTGAAATTACATAAAATACTAAATTAATTTTTATTGTGAAACAAAAAAAATTCTTAAAAGGATAATTTTAAAAATAATTGCAAATGAGAATCATTCGATTAGCTATTCTTGATATTGTTTACCCAAAAAAACTATTCTTAATATTGGGTAATAAATTTACTTTTATCTAACTTTGGATTCGTTAAAGAAACAAACCCACCAAACCTGGTCTGCCATTAGTACCATCTTTATCAGTTCTTTTTTTTTTTCTAAATCCTTTCTCAAAAAAATATATTTATTTTTTCTCTTTCAACATTTCTTACAAAGTAGTCCTTTCTGTTTTAATTTAATTGTCATTATACAATAAAATTTTATTTTAAAATATAAATGTCGTTTTAAAATTTTAATATAAAATTTATTACTTAAAATATGATTAGATTTATAAATAACTATGTTTTATTTAAAATATATGCAAAATTATATATGTTTAATTTATGTATACTAACAATTAAAATAAAACATATGGAGTATAAATCAGTTTCTAAAAAGAAGTATAAATCTAAGAATATTAACTTGAAAAGTGAAATAATTATGATAGTTGAGGTGACTTAGAATTGACCTGTAAAAACAAATAAGGTTGAAGGCATTGACTCTCTTCACTTAATGTTGAAAACTAAATGATAGCATAAAACAAAGTTGTATTTCCTTTATTTATGTATTAGGGAAAGCCTTTCCATTTACTCATCCTTCGATAAATTTTTTTTTAATCTTCCTCCACTCAAAAAGTTACATTTCGATTAATTATCATTCTTATTTCCACCCTTTTCATTTTACTCCTCCGTTGGATATTTATCAGAATTCATTTTCTAAAATTAAGACAAGTTATTGCTGATTTAAGAAATTTATTATGTTTCTATCAAAATTTATCCATTTAGACAAGTTTCCACAGAACATTTATATATTGATGATGTATCTCCAAAACCGATTACACTTGATCATTATCTGTGCAATTTCAGACTAAGTTTATTTTTTTGTCAAGTGGTTATATTTTCAATTCAGCTAGTATACATAACTATACGAAATGGATGTCTCACAAATTTCACATTTCAAACCATTAGCTAGCACTGATTTTCTAGTGACAGAGAAATTCAACTGAAAGAATTGTGTTATCATTATTCAATAATTTAACATAGTAATTACTTGTCAAACACATATAATTAATCAGTTAATACAAATATTTTACATAATTGTTTTCAAAATGAGATTATACAATCTATAGCCGAGAAAAATATCATGCC